TAGTAGCACCTTGAAGCGCATCCGGAGATCGACAGGTAGCCAGTGCAGCTCGCGGAGGATGGGTGTTATGCGGGCGAACCGAGATGCGCCCGCGATCACTCGCGCGGCTGCGTTCTGCACTAGCTGAATTCTGCGGATGTTCTTCAAGGTCAGCCCCATGTAGAGCACATTGCAGTATTCCAGCCTAGAGATCACTAGGGCCCGAGTGACTGTTGTGAGAGCCTCCCGATTCAGGTAGGGTCGCAACTGGCGCACCATCCATCTCTAATACTACAACATAATTTTACAATGAAATGCAAGAATCACTTATTGCATACCCATGTCACGTCAAACCAGGATAATAAACCATTACTGGAGCAAGAGTCATGTTGGTGCAACAGCTGGATCCCTTCTGTTTGCTTCTTCTCTTTGGAGGAATAAAGGAAGCAAAGAGAAGTTTATATGGGAGCCATTGTTTGATCTTGGGACCACAACTACAGTGATGCCAATGATGTGATCAGAGGGTCCTGGGATAAAAAAAAATCTTGGCTTGTTTTCTTTTCTTTTGTGTGTGTGTGGATTGGACTGGAAATGGGAGCATTTCACAAAACTACAACTTTATCCTTGCTTTCCCATCTCTCAGCTGTTTTTGCAACTGAAAATCTTTGGCCATTTCAATGCCAACTTTTGGCAGCATGATTTGGATCTATCTTCTGAGGATTTTGAAGAATTTCAACAGGACATGTTTCGCTTCCTGGAGACTTGGGGAACATTCCCACTGCTTCTTTAGATATTTTCATACTTAAAATCATAAACATTATCATTTTGACACACTGTTTTGGCAGGAGGAATTTTTGGACATTTTAGAGGCTATAAATGAAGTGCCAGACTTACTAAATCTGTAGCTGGCTGTAGCTTGCCACTGAGGAACATTTGAACCTAGAATTAAAATTATGCATTCTCAAACAAATCAGAGTTCATAAACTAATAATGAACCTTGCTTTATAGCTTTAAAAGTAAGCTAGCATTATCTGGACATTTAAAACATAATTCTGATGTTGGGGTTAATCATACTAAGAAGGCTATGCCTTCTTCAAGATCTTGAAAAGGGAATAACAAACTAAAAGTAGTCAATTGCATAATTTATTTATTTATTTGTTTGTTTTGGCTGAAGTACAATTCCCTCCTAATTAGGCTATAGCACACGTAGGTTGGTAGGAATATGTATACCTATCAACAGTCTTTCCCAAGATGTCTGGATTAAACTTCAGTGTTTTAGCAGGAGAGATGACTTACCCTCCTTTGATGTAATCTAGAAACGTATGTTCTGATTCTGTGGCAAATGACAGCAATGTTACCTTGAAAAGGAAGAAACAGGATGTATGTCACATAAGGACCAATGAAATAATTGTTACTGCAGCAGGAGCATCTGTTGTTAATGATGATTTGCAGTCATGTCCAAGGCCATCCCATCTTCAGTCTACTCCCAGTCCAATAGGTTACCACAACTCTGTTTTTTTTAAGATTATCAGATTTGGGTTGCAAAAATCCAGAAGGAACATTCATTTCTTTACTGGAGATTTGAACTCAGACTCACAAGAACAGTCACAACAGTTGCCTAGTAAAGTCTCACTCTGGTGGAGAATCTCTCACAAATACCCTGACCATAATTTTTTGGTGGGGAGGCGGAATCTAAAGGACAAACCTGAAAAAGGGACAAATCTGAAAGACATACACAAGGAAAATACAATTGTTTATAACTTTGTTTTACAAAGGAAATTTCAAGAATTTTTCTGCTTTAAAAATGTATTTTCTAATAAAAATATCTAAAACGAAACAGTACAGTATACGTACATTTGTTTTAAAAAGACAATTCAATTTTCATATTTTTCACACAAATGTGAAAAACTGTATATTAAATGGTATCATTTCTAGAGTAAAACTTAAATATCCAAAATAAATGTCACCAAAAGTGACTTTTTGAAAATAAATGAATCTAAAAAGACAACTCTTTAAAATAAAGATTGTCCTTTATAATAAAGGCGATATGGTCACTGTACTCGTAAGGAACTGAGTGAGTTAGATCTTTTAATTAAAGAATACTGTTATTAACAGTGGGTTACCAGTATTTCAAACAAGAATCTCCCTGGTGCCCAGGTTCATACTGGGAACTAAAGCATACTTTTTGTATGGAATCTATGGCTCTTCCTTATATATGTAACAATTTAATCATTTTCTCCTATGGACAAGGAACAAAGGGCAAGCTACCATAATAAATCATGCCAGAGGCATGAGCCAGATTTACCAATTACCAGCAAAATAATCTGAATTTATCTGGCAAATATATCAATCAGCCCAAACGCTTGCATTTTTCTTTGCATGCAGGGATTAACATTAATTCAAAACACTTTCTACATTTAGTCTGTGCTGAAATATTTATCAGCTCTGTCTGCCTTTAATTCAAATCAGATTGCGCTATTTTCTACTACGGTATTTTAATTGTGGAATCCTGGATACAGGACTGAAAGCCACCTGTTTTTATTGGCCATTCCTCTGGCTGGTATTTGTAAAACACAACTGCTGGTGAAAACAACACTGACAGTCATGCATTATTTGCTGCTCACTCTACATCAAGACATGCAATTTTCTGCCTTTTTCCTATTGTTGAGGCTCAAATAAGAAAGAAATCCCAACTTCAAAATTACTCAGATGGCATGTTGGGGAAATATTTCAATACACCAAGTACATTTATAATAATGTTACTCACTGTTCCTGAATTAGAGTATTTCTTTTTCTTCATTTTCTTTTTGGGATTTACCACCTGAGAGAAAGAAGAAAAATGATGCTAATATAAACATCTCTGTGAGACATCTGGTCTGGCCGAGCCTGTAATGTACACTAGAAGCAGTAGATGTACTCTTGGTATTTACTTATACTAATCCCATCTCTGTACATGACACTTTGTAAAGGGATATTGGAAAACAAAATAAAAGATGTGATGCTGCCCCAAGGAATTTACTAATTCTAGTTAAACAAAAAGGAAGTCTAAGGCTGAAGAGGCAAGTGGGGAAAGGAGGCTCAGAGAACAAAATGCAGATATGCTGTAAACAATTTCATTTGCAAATCATCTGGCTTCTGCTTTAGTTATATGTGCTAGGATTTTATTTCAGCAGTGCAGAGAGCAGGGACTTAAGCTAAAGCCTTCCACAAACAAACAGACAAAAGACTCTTGAGAAGGACTATGATGAGTTCAGCCTTCCTTGTTCTTATCCTTGCAACTATCCCACAAGATGCTCATTATTATTCATTATGTACCAATGAGAATGAAAACTGAAACACCAATTAAACTTCTACAGGCAAGGAGGTGGCGAATCAGTGCCTCCTGGGCTCCCAAACAGATCAATCAACAGATCTTTCTGAAAAGGCAAATGGTCCCCCTTAATCCAGGCTAACGTTAATTAGTATACACTTCTTTTCCACCACACAGGCAAACATAAGATTTTCTTTTAATATTACACCAAAACCAACGTATACTGTTCTTGCTCTGTGAAGCAGGTATCTTTTAAAGGGTTGGGGTGGGGGATTGTATTAAAGTGGAGGTATTTTACCACAATATCAATGGAATTTAAACTTGTCTCCTATCCTAAATAAAAGCTTCTTTGTACCAATAAAATAAAATAATAAAGAATGGTAGCAGGCGTAATTCCTAGCATGCCAAATATAAAACAGGAAATAAATCAGTTGGTAATATAGGTAGATGTTCTGACCCCCACCTTGCCCATTCAAAAACTACAGCCAAACAGAACTTCAAAGGAAATATTTTTATCAGTCCTGGCTTTTGCTGGCTGC